ATGAAAGGTGCTTCACGCCTTTCCTGTTTATTGTTTACAGCTTGGCAGTAACCCAGGGGAAGCGAGCCTTCCGGAGAAGGGCGCTACGGAGACCACATCCTACCCGTAGGGAGGTATCATGTGGAGACACTGATATGGACTGACCCAGGCCTGGGGCAGTACTACATATGGAATGGGTCTCTGAGGCAGGTCCTACCTGAGAGTAGGGAGGAACCACTGCCAGCAGAGCCTGACAGAATGGTATGTCAAAGGGAAGACACGGGTTTACAGAGAGGGAAACCTTACAGTGGAAGAATGCACATATGGGATCGCCCAAAGGGAATCAAGCCATATGGACACCTAGCCCAGTAAAGGGGCTGACCGGAACCCCGGGCAAGCTAACACCGATACTGGGCCTGGCGTCAGAATGCTCCACCCAGTCTGATTTCCGGGGGTGCTGGAGGATACTCAACCAGGGTTCGCCGACTTGGGAACTTACTGGGGGAGGAAAAGGCTCGCATCCCCGGATGAGGGAGAATTGCGCAGCAAGCGTGACACCAGCCGGCTCTTCCCGCCACTTATCTGTTACCCAACACATGGGACGAAACCAGCTCAACGCGGAGACTGTAAAATCTTGCGAAGGTATTCGGTGTCGCCCAGCCCGCAGCTCTACAGATGTCTGCCAGAGAGGCGCCGTGTGCCAGCACTTAGGAGGAGGCGACACTCCATGTGGAGTGAGCCCTCACCCCCAGGGGGCACAGCTCGCCTTGGGATTGTTACGCCAAGGTGATGGCATCCACTGTCCAGTGGGCCAGCCTCTGCTTGGAAACAGCCTTCCCTTTCTGCTGACCTCTGTAACAGACAAAGAGGTCCCTGTGATCGCACAACTGCTCTCGTGACTGGGCCATGATGAGCCAGTTGTCGTGGTAGTTGAGGATCCTGATGCCCACTTCCCATAACGGGGCAAGGGTGCCCTCCTTTGTAAAGACATGGGGGGACAGGGATAGCCCAAAGTGGGAGGACCCTGTACTGCCAAGCCCGACCCTCGAATGCAAACCATAGAAACGGCCTGTGTTGAGGAAGAATCGAGACATGAAAGTAAGCATCCTTCAGGTCGACCGCTGCAAACCAATCCTGGGGCTGGATGCATCTGATGATGCGCTTCTTGCTTCAACATCTTGAATGGAAGCTTGTGAAGGGCCCACAGATCCAGGTTTGGCTGGATGGCACAGAAGGCATCGCGTCCTGGCTCATCACAGCAGGACTCCCTATGTCCTCGGAGGGGACTGGCCAGAGATGCGTGGAGAATCTCTTGGGCGCTGGCGATAGGGGACGTCGTGGGCGAGAGTGAGGAGGCAGCACGTTGCTCACTGTCAGCCCACATGCCTGATAGCACGGAGGGAAAGGAAACTGCTCTTTTTTCAAGAATGTGGGTACCGCTGGCTGTTGGACCAGTGGCGGAACAGAAAAAACACAAAACACAGGATTCTCCACCCGGCCCTCCTCCGGGGAAAGGAGTGGCACTGTCCTCACCATCTCCTGAGAAAGAGCAGCTTTCCACATCTCCGGGTTGCCCGTGTCAGGGCCGCTTTGTCGTCTTTCTAGAGGACTTAGGGGCCGGCTGGGACACGGGGTGCACCGCGGTCCTGCGAGAGGCTCGACGCGCCAGCCTTGACGCTGTCTCAGCACGGGGCGGAGGCGCTCTGGAAGACACAGGGGGGCACCCTCGGCAACAGGCAGACTGAGGCGGGGCCCATGACAAAACGGTGGCAGACGGAGGATCACGTCGGGGCAGTATGGCGACAACACCCGAGGGTCACTGTGACCCTCAGATCTCCCAGAGCTCTTGCCGGCGGTCCCCTGCTTGTGACAGGGAAACCGGGATGAGTAGAAATGGAGGGTGACGCTCTGTTCCCCGTGAGGAGAGCGAGGCGAGATCGCAGCGAAGCCATGCTCATACGCTCGCAATGAACGCATGAGTCATCCATGAACGCAGCTTCAGCGTGTTGGATGCCCAGACACTGAAGACAACGATCATGTCCATCAACAGAGGACAGGTAACGACTGCAACCAAGAGAACACAGACAGAACAGCATCTTTAAAAAGACGCGAACCGACCGTGATTTGCTCTTTTAGAGAAACTGCTCTTTCAGTTGAAGTGCCCAGGGGAATCGCTGATGGTAGGAACACCGCTGTTTGCACCGTAACGCCAACCAGGAACAGCTTCTTCCAGTCAGATGAGTAAAGGGCTTTGTGGAGATCAAGCACTATCATCCATTCGGCTCCGAAGCAAAAAGCTGAAGAGTGGATGCACCTGTCTCCTATTTATACCCGTATGCACGGGGAGTGTTTCAGGTATGCAAAATCCACTAGCCAAATTTAATTTGGGTTTTCTCTTAAAGTCAGAGAGGATTGGGGCTCCCAAGTGAACCCCCTATGTCGTCAGGACATAACTCGTAGTGACTGACAGATAGGGAACTTTTTTTCTCACAATTCTGAGAATACAGAATTTTGAGATCTAAACTCAGAATTGTATGAAAAAAGTCAGAATTATGAGATGAAAAAGTATTCCGTGGTGGAAACTGATTTGTGAGATGTAATCTTAAAATTCAGAGAAAAAAATTGAGTGAGTGTCAGTGTGTCAGTGTGTCAGTGTGTGAGTGTGTGTGTGTGTGTGTGTGTGTGTGTGTGTGTGCAGGTGGAGGTGTGCGACTGGTGGAAGCTCTGCTGTATAAGGATAACATTGTGTGTGTGTGTGTGTGTGTGCAGGTGGAGGTGTGCTGCTGGTGGAAGCTCTGCTGTATAAGGATAACAGTGTGTGTGTGTGTGTGTGTGCAGGGGGAGGTGTGCTGCTGGTGGAAGCTCTGCTGTATAAGGATAACAGTGTGTGTGTGTGTGTGTGTGCAGGGGGAGGTGTGCTGCTGGTGGAAGCTCTGCTGTATAAGGATAACAGTGTGTGTGTGTGTGTGTGTGCAGGGGGAGGTGTGCTGCTGGTGGAAGCTCTGCTGTATAAGGATAACAGTGTGTGTGTGTGTGTGTGTGCAGGGGGAGGTGTGCTGCTGGTGGAAGCTCTGCTGTATAAGGATAACAGTGTGTGTGTGTGTGTGTGTGCAGGGGGAGGTGTGCTGCTGGTGGAAGCTCTGCTGTATAAGGATAACAGTGTGTGTGTGTGTGTGTGTGCAGGGGGAGGTGTGCTGCTGGTGGAAGCTCTGCTGTATAAGGATAACAGTGTGTGTGTGTGTGTGTGTGCAGGGGGAGGTGTGCTGCTGGTGGAAGCTCTGCTGTATGAGGATAACAGTGGTCCTCTGACGGCGCAGCTCTACTCTCTGAACATGCTGGTGCAGACGGAGGGTCGCGAGCGCAAGGCTTCAGATTACAGTCGTCTGCTGAGCGCCGCCGGATTCACACACATCCAGATCCACAACACCGGCAAGATCTACGACGCCATCCTGGCCCGCAAATAAACACACACCGTGTGTCAGGAAGCCATAGACAAGGGCTTTTGTTGTTCAGAAATATTTTTTACATTTTTAATGACACCTCCGTCTGTTTTCAGGCTTTAACTGATGAATACCGTGTTTTACCTGTTGTTCAGGTAGGAGAGCTTGGATCGAGCTTTTACTCTTCTGATTTACTCCTGAAATCTGCATAAAAATGATATATATTTTTTAAAAAGTTAAATAAAACAAAGAATGATTACAAATAGTACATTTTAAAAGGAAATACTATTTTCACTTTTTCTATACTTCAAAATGTCATGTTTCATTTAATGTGTCACTTGCCATTTCTTTGTAATTGTGAAATTAACCAGCAATTTCTGAGTGAAAATTATTTCTACACCAATTTATTTTTTCAGCAATATCCTGAACTTTGCCACGTCAATATCTCCTCCTGAATTTACCGCATTTTGAATCTCTCGACCTGAAATCCACAAATTGAATAATAAAAACCCAGATTTGAAGGATGTGAATTCATCTAAAAAAAAAAATGTATTCAGACACCTTCAACATTTCTCACATTATATCACAGTTTATTGGCTGTAGTTTAGAAAACGGTAATAAAATATGAGAAGAACTCAGAAGAAATTCATCTTGATAATGTCAGATAACTCTGATGGAAAGATATGTAATGAATTCTGTTGAATAGCTGTCAGCTGTTACATTAAGAACACAATTAGATAAAACCAATTTAGCTCAACTAATTAGCAAGCAGTGCTTCGTTTAGTTCAGTCTGTGGTGTAAAAAGATCACATTAGCAATTAAAGAAAAACACTTCAGCAAAACATGCTCAGCTCAAAGTGTCTGAATCATTTTTGATCCGGTAGTCCACTGTATGAAGACTTTATGGGTATAATATGTCACAGTTCACTTTATTTTGCTCTCCTCACTTACATAAATAAACTATAGTGTCCTGCACACACTAGTGAAAAAACATCAACAATTATATCTGCTGTCTGAATCATTTTTGGTTTGACTGTATTTAAAATTAACAGGGAAAAAAAGCCCAATAACATCGAATTACACTCTTTTTTTATCTAAGATCATGATTTTTTTTTTATTTTACTAATAGCATAGTATTACATGAATTGTTTATAATTATGATTTATTTTGCTTTAACTTGAATTAAGCATCTTAAATACTGAGACCTGAATTTTTATGACCTGAATTGAATAATAAAAACATGAATTTCACAACCCAAATTTCAAGAAGGTGAATTCATACAAAATATGTTTTAAATATTTAAAATGAACAAGGCGACAAAAAAATAAAAAATTAATAACATCACATTTCACTTTTTTTTTTGTTTGTTTTTTCCAAGACCATGAATTTAATGGCTTTTCAAGTTTCTAATTTAACATTTATTTTGCTTAATCGGAATTTTTTTTTTTTTACTGAAATATATTTTGAAAAATATTCAAAAATATATTTTTAGTTTGTGTGTTGGATTGTTTATTACAATATTAGCATAATGTTTAAGGTGTTGTTTTAATCATAACTGATGTATGTTGTGTAGTGTGCTGTAACTTATGAATTCGGTTATAAAAAGTGCTTGATATGAATAAATGTGTGAGGAACGTTCTTCCTGCGGGCGGCGTATTAAAAAGAAAGCAAACAAGTGTCTTCTGATGAAATAAGAGCCGTCGGTCTGCATCACATGAGAGTCATGATGTGTGTCCGCAGGGAATGAATCCAGTCCAGACGCTGTTTGTGTCACGCTTTATTATCTGCTGGATTTCATATCATCATATCATACTCTGACGTCCCTCACAGTTCAGAAAGAACTCTTTGTCTGCTCAGAATTCAGTTTTATAAATGACACCGTAACCCAGAACTGGAGTTTTCTCAATCTTCTAGCTAAAACAAATCCCACTAAGTTATGACAGCGTTATTTCTGAATGTTTTCTTGATCATGTGAATGTCAAGGCAACGTTCCGTTGTATCATTTTTAAACATTATGAGAATGTTACTTTTGAACGTTCTAAACAAGGAGCAACATTTATAAAATGTTACAAGAAACGTTTTCATTTGTTTTTATTTGAGCTTTTTAGTTTACGTTTCGAGAACATTATTGAAGACAACACACATTTATTTTAGTTACTGAAAGAACATTTGTTTGACAGATTTTTTAAAAAACATTTAGCATTAGCTCTTATTTTTATATCTTCAGTTTATTTTTAGTTTAATTTTTTAGTACATTTGTTATGTTTGTAACACTTTTTTAGTTCATATTCGATTGTTTGACTGATATTTTGTGTCAATACTTTGAACCAGGTTTTATTTGTATATTTTTAGTTTTCGTTTCATTTTTGTTTAATTTTTAGTACATTTGTTATGTTTGTAACACTTTTTTTTTAAAGTTCTATTTAGACTGAATTTATTTTTATTTTAGTTTTAGTTCATATTGCGTTGTGAGAACTGTAGTCGAATAATGGCAGGAATCATTCTGTCTAGTCTCAAACCTATAAATAAACAATACACTGTTTTAAATGTCTTTTAGTGAATTTGAAATAAATATTGTGCATTAGCATGTACATATTGTGTTCATTTAAATCCTGAAGTTTAATAGACTAAATTATTATTTATTAGTGAGCTTACAGCAGAAATATGCCACATGCCATTGTGCTGTATGAAAATATCATCCATATGTATATTTCATATCACTCTTTGTGAAGTGTAAAATTCATCAGAATTCATAGTTTCAGTGACTGACAGACAGACCTCATATCCTTTAATCATGTGACGCTCTGCTCAGATGTTCAGGATCTCAAGATGCTCGTTGGAACATCTCAAATCACACAGCTGTAATGCTGAATATTTAATATGGACTTCATTGAATATTCAGTTCATTTTTTGTACAGTATTCATTGGTAAGAGTCAGTACTGGAAACTTTGAATTAAAAGATTAATATTCTAGTTGGCACAGATATCAACCAATGCTGATCATCTCAATATGGCCAAATGTTAGCTGATTTAAAAAAAAAAAAAAAATAATTTGAACAAATAATGTTATTTCCTGTATTTGTTTTACATTTTTATTCATATTTTGAATTCACTTTATTTGTATGTTTTCAGTTGTCATTTTTATTATGTTTTTATAATTTTCTATTTAGGTTTCATTTATTTCATTATTTATTTAATTCCCTGTTAGAAATTTTACGGCTTAAATTAATTTCAGTTATTAAGATTTCAGCAAGGAGCCAAAACACTAACCGCTTATATAATACTTTTTAAAATACCGTAAACTACAATAATTTTTGTTATAATTTATTATATATATATATATATATATATATATATATATAATAAATTATAAACTATACAATTTTACAGTTTGTATACATAGAAATACCAAACTACATAAATTTGCATGAATGTAGTAATTTTCTTAGTTGGCAACATTTGTCATTTTCACTTTTCTGAATTTCTAATTTTCTAAATTTCACCAAGTTTTTCTTTGAATATTTATATTTGATATTAATTTGGCTTTATTCAAAATAATTACCTATAAAATATTTAATGACAAAAAATTTAAATAATTATAATATATAGATGTATAAAATGAACAAAATAAATGATTTAATATAAAACTATAACATATTATATAACATATAATATAGAAAACCCCAGATGAGTGTCTGATTTGTTTGCACATACAGCATGCAAGTGCTGAATCTCTCTCTGTAAACGTCTCTGTATTACTGAAAGAAAAGCTCTGAATCTTCTGAGATCTTCTTCTGTGTCTCTGTGGTTCAGGAGAGACTCTGATAGCGTGCTTTGAGTCCAAAAGTTGATTTAATGCTTGCGCTCTTCTGCTTGAGCTTTGCATAAAGAGCCCATGACCCCGAATATCCCCTGCTCTGTTAGTGCAGACAGGCTGAAGATTAGGCATGACTCCGAGAGAAGCTCACTGCACACTCACTCACTCACTAGTGCACACTGCATACTGACTACTACTGTGTGAAACACCTTTGTTAAATTTACACTGCATGATACATTCAATGAGTTTATTTCAAAAGAATCTGCAGTTGATTTGTTTTCTCATGTTTATATTGAGAGGAATAGCTAACAACAATATGCTGTAAGAACATTTAACTAACATTATGAAAACCTTATTTCTGAATGTTTTTTCCACAGTTTCTTTTTTAATGTATTGACAGTGTTTCTTCTTAGTTATGTGAATGTTAGACAAACGTTCCATTTGATCATTTTGTTACAAAAATGTTACATTTGAATGCTCTCTCAACGTTTCAAACTCTCGTTTTTTTACGTGTAGAAGATGTTTATTATTGGATTTGTGAATGTTACGGAAAAAAAACTAAAACATTTGATCAGTTTGAAACTTTGAAGTTTTTTTTTTTAAATCTCAAAACATCCGTTTTTAAATGTATTAAGAATCCCATTTGATCATTTTGAAAACATTACGAGAATGTTCTTTCAATGTTCTTATTCAAAGAATGTTTTTTCTTGGTTTTACGAACATTAGAGGAACATTTCATTCATTTTAAACCATTATGACAATGTTATTTCTAATGTTTTTTAAACGTTAGAGGAACGTTCTATCCTGTCATTTTGAGAACGTTACATCTGAATGTTCTCGCAATTTTAAAACACCCATTTTTTTGTATATTTAAAGAACATTTATTATTGGATTTGTGAAAGTACAGATTTTTTAAAAATGATTTTGAAACTGTAATGAAAATGTCATTTCGGAATGTTTATAAAATGTTCAAAACATTCAGTTTTTCAAAAAAAAATGTTTTTTTTACATTTATTATTATTATTTGGTTATGCGTACTTTAGAGGAACATTCTATTCTATAATTTGGAAAACGTTATGAGAACGTTACATCTGAATGTTCTCTCAACGTATAAGATCCTCTCAACATTACAAGAACATATATCAAATATTAATAATGTTATCAGAACATTCCATAAGCATTATTTTAGGAACGTTTTGTTCTAAGGAATTTCTCATCAACATCAAATGATCTGAGCTGCTCTTGCATTACATTTATAGCATTTGAATCTTATTTTATGACAGCTATTCACTCATTTGGGTCTGTTTGTATTTCTTCTAGAGATTCAGTGAGAAACATCTGAGATGACTTGCGATGGGTGCGGCAGGATTGTCCTCGGGGTTTGTTCTGAGTAAGTCACACACGTTAAGTTCTCTGGTATAAATGATTCA